ATTTGAAAAAAAATATTGGTTGTGACCCACTAAATTTACTGTGCCCCAGAAATAGGCCTCAATTTATGTTTTGAACATCACTGAGCTAAATTATATGCAAGTGACTTGTACAATGTCTACATTATACATGACAATTATTTCTTTTCCCTTATGCACAAGAGGGCAACTCAATCTAAACTTCATCACTCAGAGGAGGAGACCAAGCTCCCTGAACAGGTTTCCTTAAAGACAAAAATGAGAGAGTAAAACAAATGTAGCATCAGTGATGATCCCCACAAGGCAATGGAATTATCCCACAGCTATAATGTACACCTCAGAGACTACAGGCAATTTATTATGAAACTAAATAACTGAAGACTTCACTTATAATTTCAACTTCAACTCCATGTTCAATTTGCATCAAAATATGTGTGCTACCAATAAAACTGCGCCAGAAAACACCTTGAGTGAAATATTTTTAAATGAAGCATTCAAGGCTTAGGACAACATATATAATGTTATCATTTGTTTAATAATATATACAAATATACATATGTATTATCATAGATTATCTTTTAAGTGGCATCCCAAAATATTGATAATGGCAAGTTGCTTCTATGAAGCTAAATTTTGCAACTGAGGAAAGAAAGTGGAAGGGAAATACTCTCCATTATACAAATTCTTAACCTGTCATTATTTTACCCACTTATAATTTTAAAATAACACATATACACAAAACAGAAATTCTCAGTTCCTGAAAATGTGTCATCTCCAAATGTTCAGTTGAGTAATGCTTTAAAAACCAACAGGAAATGCATTATGGCAAAGGCCAAGATAAAAATTGAGGATACATCCCATTTAATGCATCACTTCTCAGACTTCTCAACCTATTTACGGTGCACTGGTTGGAACTAACAATGTGAAAGCAATTGCACTGATTTGCTCAACATGCTATTTCTATTAGAGATGAAACCTTTCAAGCTGTTTTCCTGTCCCACTCTGCTCTTCTCTCTGAAAAGGAAGGGTTATTAATTTGACTAACGTGGCTACTACTGTAAAAGTCTCAGTTTTAGAAAGCAATACCCAGGAAATATCCTTCTTAAATCTCCTTCCTGCTTCAGTCCTCTGAGCATCTGGCTCCCAGGACAGACCACCTGGAATGTTGTCTAGAGCATTCTTCTTGACTCTGAAGCAAAGGATCAGAATGTCAAGCCAGGTCTTCAGGAGCTACAGCTAATTGAGTATGTTGACTTCCAAGATACAGCGGTGTGAGGAAGACATGGGATAAAAATCCTACTAATTCCTAGAGCCAAAGCCTCCATATATCTCAGTGGGATCGCAGACCTCTGTCTCAGAGGGAGAGCAAGCACTTATGGAGTTATTAATAAAGCAGCACCTGGATTCTCATTTTGCTTCCATTTCTGCAGTGTGAAACTCCTTTGAGAACTCTCTGGGAGAAGTGAAAATTATCAGGGCAAGGTTTGGCCATTCCATGTTCTCTGTCCTCATTGTCATCAAAATAGCACAACATATTTCCCTTGAATGACATATCTTCCTCTGTAAATAAGAAGATATGTGACCTTGACTTTAACTTTAATTTTATCTAGTTATCATGCTAGATATCCTTACACTTCAGGAGAACTTTAATATTTTTAGTTGTCATGCTAGATATCCTTCAACTTCAGGTTCTTATACATTAGAAAATTTAACTTTTCTATTTTTCTTCCATTTTTATTTCCGCTATTTAACTAGAAAACAATTAGATTAAGTATGATAATATTTAATTTTCTAACAAATTAATTTAAAAAGAAGGACTAGGATTAAAAATATTGATACAACACAGAAGTGCTGATGGTATAGGGAAACCAGCATTCTCATATGCTACTGCTACTAAACTTTTCTCAAGAAAATTTGTCGAGAGGAATCGAAAGCCTTAAAGATACTTATAAACTTTAATTCAGCAATACCACTTTTAATAAATTATCCTACCAAAGAAGTAACTTAACGTGCAGAGAAGCATGTTAAGAAATCTTCACCACGAAGCAATTTAATGCAAAAACTCAGAATGTTCATTAACATAGAACTGGTTGAAAATAAACTTCAATCGTACAATGGGAAATTGTGTGGTCACCAAAATGATGACGTTGATCTACATCTAACATCTATTTATTCATGGAGTGCCATCTCTATATCATACATTATTCTAGACCCTAGACAAAATAAGACAAACAAATAGAACAAACGAAGTGTGCTCCTCTACCCACCCGCATAGAACTTATACTCTAACAGGAGAAGAATGCTTAAAAAGTAAATAAAACATACTGAATAGCAAATGGTGATAAGGAGTATAAAGAAATGTAGGGCAAGGAAGAGGGTTGGAGAGGCTAGGGTGGTAGTGGGTGCTGTAATTTTAAAGAAAAAAATAATTGAAAATGGCCTCACCACGGTGGTATTTGGACAAAGGTTCACATTTAGTAAGGGAGTAAGTATTGGCGTATCTGGGAGAAGAACATAAAAAAATTGCTTCTCATATTTTATCATGTAAGAAACAAAGGAGGCTACTGAACAGTGCTTATAATATGGCCCCAATTTTATATAGGCCTGTATGTTAACAGAAGTTGTCTATAGCTCATGAAATGACAAGCACTGTTTTTAATTTTTTCTCCTTTTGGCTTAATTATTATACAATAAGTGAATTATAGGCGCACATTTTTTAAAAAACCAAAAATAAGATACTTTAAAATGAATCGCAGAATCTACTCAAACCCAGAGTTTAATTTTAATGCATCATTATATGTACTCAAGCCAAAATTTAATGTCCCTGTCATCTTTCTAAATAACTTAGCTTGAAATGCTCTTTGAGATTCTCAAATTAAAAGCAAGAGGAATTATCTTTAAAGTAGATGACGTCTCTCTGATTTTAAATTGGACACTTTCGCTCCGTATTTAGCTAATATAGAATATATCTGAGACTTTGAGTCCTCTTTTATAGTCACAAATAAGTGCCATGTACAAATGTGAGACACCTCAGTGTATAATATGAGATACAAGCGTTCTGTAATTCTCTATCATGCAGTAGTTTCCATTTGTTAGATAACAAATTCAATTTATCAGTAGAAAACATTAAATGGATTGCAAACACTATGAAATCAGGATGACAGTCTAGTTCTGCAAATTGTCTAGAACCGACTAGCACTTTTGAATCCACCAAGTGTCATTTGTTACAAAAACATAGTAATTGCTACCCAAACAACAAACCACACCATATATTTTTGACTTCCAAAGATGAGCATTCAAAATAAATAGGGCAATGAGTTGAGCTTAATGCATCAATCTTCTATCAGCTACCAAGATATCTTTAGCTCCAACGAGAAAAAGCAAAATTATCTCAGTTTAAAAATGAAATAAAAATCTAAAAATTCATATGATGGACAGAAAATGAGGCAACATCTCAGAAAAACAACAACAAAATGTCTCAATTTACCGCTAAAAACAAAGAAGCGGGCAAACAAATATCAGTGTGCTGACAGAATATTCCAAAAATATCCCTTTCCCTTAGGGTTGGGACATCACCCTGTGGTGACCATTGAGGCCAGAAGCTTAACACCCCTCCAAAGATAGTCATGGTGCCTGAGGAAGCCTCGTTTCACAATAAAAACACTTTAGGGCATTTCACTTATTTCGCCACTGCTGTCTTTGGCTATAGAGGGAACCATCCTCATCTTCAATGACAACGCATTGTTCCTTCCTGCGGTAGCTCTATTACAACCAATATTCTGCTCTTTCTTAGCTTAATTAAATAACGATTAATTTCCCCTACCAGACTAACAGCTCCTTGAGAGCAGACTCTCTGTTTGACAAGTCGCTACATAAAGCATATAAAACACATATGAGATACTCGGTAAATAGCAATATTATTGCTATAAATTATTAGCGGTACAAAACTACATATATTAAATTGAATATAACTCTGATAGAGTGAACACATGAACTTTTCCCATGGTCAGCTCTGCCACTTTTCAAATATTGGCATAAGGTCAGCACTGTACTGCTATACCGGTAGGTCATAGGTCCTCCATGATACCAACAGCTAGACAGTTAATAATCTGTCTTAAAGCAGCCATTAGTTAGGTTATTTGTTTGTTTACACATTATCTAACTGAGGGTATGTCTTCAAAGTACAGGAACTGAGTCCCCATCCTTAAGTCACCACCTGGTTATGAGGACACCCTAGCCTCCAGAACTGTTGCAACCATCTGTACTGTATTGATCTTCTGCGATAAAAGATCTGTTGATAAGTCTAAACAGTATATATGTATTCCATATAGGATATAGAGACTTTTAAATCTTCTTTTTAATTCAATAAAAGAGAGACAGGGATAAAGAAAGAGCAGAGACATGAGGGAACAGGAAAAATACATGTCGTAGACAGAATTTCAAAACGCTTATGCTTGAGGTGTTAAAACACATTTGACTTTCAACCAGGGGTGTGTACTGGAATCTCCTGGGGCACTTTCTTCCACCACATACACCCAGACTTCACTCTAGAATTCTTAATTCAGGATCTTTGGGGCTGAGACCCAAGCAAGAACCTTGCAAACTTCTTCAATGATTCTGGTATATAGCACTGGTTAAGAACCACTGACCTCCTGGAAAAACAAAGACTGAACAACCCTCTGAAATTAAAGATGAGTAAGGCGACAAAACAATAAAATGCAAGATGTGATTCTGTATAGAATTCTAGACCAGAAAAGAGACATCACTAGGACAATCAATGAAATCTACACAAGGTTTATGTATTTGCAGGAAGTACCATATCAGTGTCTACCTCGTTTTGGTAACTACCGTGGTTGCGTAGGATATCAATACTTGGGGAAACTGGATGATCACTAAATGAGTATCCTTTATACTACCTTCAATCTTTCTGCAGGGGTCTCAAATTATTTCAGAATGAAAAGTCAAAATGTATTTCTCCTATTTTAAGGGAAAAGTAAGTCATTGAACTAGTCGAATAACTTTTTTCACAGATGAATAAATTTTCCACCAGTGTGGTATAGAGAAACAGTCAAAGAGTGTAGAACCACATCAAGCAGCCCACTGTGACCCCAAATAGCCTAACTTCTCGCTAAGCACACATTTACCATAGCACATGGTAGAGTTAACGTGAGAAGCTGAGACTTCTTGGGAATGATGAAAAAACCCACTGTACCCCTACAAATTCAACAAACTATGAAAAAGAGAACAGGTTCTTACTATGTAGGAGACTTGGAATAGATGAGCAGGCACATGTAAAATATCTCCAACAAAATCCAGACTGAATGCAGCATGGCTAGGCTGGTAATCCTACTTCAATGATCAGCAGCAATGAAACCCCATCAAACTTTCTTTTCCGCAATGTTGGGGCCCATTCTTTTGCTTCAAGAGAATCCCCGAAGACAAGGATGGCTACGTGAGGCCAG